AACAGCATACATAAGAACATTATCTCAAGTGACATATGACAGACACAGAAAAGACACTATCTCACTTGTACATGGAGTCTTAAAAAAAAATCAAATTCAGAGAAGCCAACGTGATTCCCAGAGGCTAGGGAGGAGCAGTTAGAGGGAGACGGCTAAAAGGCACAAATTTTCAATTACAAGTAGTTTGAAATATCTGTTGCATATATACCATGTTGTCCACTTAAATAAACAATGTGTATTACTGAAAAAGCATAGAGAGACTTTTTTTTTTTTTTTTTTTTTTTTCGAGACAGGGTTGCTCTGTGACTTTGGAGCCTGTCCTGGAACTAGCTCTTGTAGACCAGGCTGGTCTCGAACTCACAGAGATCCACCTGCCTCTGCCTCCCGAGTGCTGGAACTAAATGCGTGCACCACCAATGTCTGGTGCATTGAGAGACTTTTTAAGTATTCTCTCTGCAAAATAATAATAATAAGCCTGTGAGAGTGGCTTTCAAATTCCACAATGTGTGAACACTTCAATATTAGATATGGGCTGTTCTCATAGTGAGAGATCAGCCTTTTGCCTCTCGAGTCCTGTGATTAAATAAAGAGTATATGCCACCATGTTTTTAAGGATTTGAGTAGCAAAAACCTGTAAGATTCAAGTAACCAGCTACTTTTATTTTTAAATCTTAGAAGTTATTAGATAGGCAACCATGTTCCCCTGTCTTGTGCTACCCACCATAGTTACTACATGCAAGGTCATTTATGCTGTCCTCTTGGCCTGAAATTCTCAGCCTTAGTACTGCCATTTCTTTTGGCCCACCTGTCAACTTTCGAGATGCAACTTAAACAGCAGCTTTTCTTGTTTATAATTGGCAAAAAGAAGACACAAATGATGTGACAAGTGAATTGATACTGTTTTGTAATGGAATATTACTCAGGAATAGAACGAACTGCTCACACAGAAAGTGCAGAAATATCAGCAATATCCCATAACACATAAAAACAATACTGGAGGGCTTCATTTATATGACAACCTAGGACAGTCAAGTTTAATCTATGATGGAGAGAAACCTAAGAGATGCTACCAATGTAGAAGGACAGAAGTACAGACTGGCTAAAGACCTAAATGATACCTTCTGAGTGGGTAGTGATGCTCAGTATCTTTAGTAGGGATTTGGGACAAACACTTCAAGCATTTGGCAAAACAGCAACTATGAACCTAGTTTGCATATTCACCACATATAATTTTGTGCCAAATAAAAATCAAGTATTGAGTGCTTAGTGACATGTAGGCTGCAGTATCTAGGAAGTAGGATGCCCATGTTTGCCATTTGCTTAGAAACGCATAGAGTCGGCTTCCATAGATGGATCAGCACTAATACCAAGTACAAAATGTGCTAACCATGAACTTTCTTCAACTTTGTTGTGTGTGCTGAATGTTTTCATGATAAAATGTCAACTGTCTTACAAAAAGACCTCCTGAGCACATTTACTACGAGAGCCTCTAATAACATCCTACACAATATATTTGGTCCAGTTTGTAGAAGGCATTACATCCGCATCCTAACTGCTAGGAACTATATAAAATGTCACAAACCAAGTCTATTTTGCTGTCTTCATGTGTCTACCCAGGCAACAGTGGGTAGGTAGTTAAAAAGATTTACTGATCTCAAGAGATATTTAATGAAATTTATCTTGTAGTTTCCCCTTAACCATATGCCTTATGCTTTATTGACTCTATTTTGCTAACATAATAATCTATCTGACCAGGTACCCAACTTATGAATTCTTTAAAATATTTAAACTCATTTAGTATGTATATGAATGCATGCATTTATATGCATATGTGTCAATCAGAGAACCCTTGCAGAGTCTGTTTTCTTCATCTGCCATGTAGGTTCAGATCAAACCTAGGTGATCGGGCTTGGCAACAAGAGACTTTACTCACTAAACCATCATGCTGGCTCAACCTATGAATATTTTTCAATTTCTCTTTGTGGCAGAACACTGAAGAAACTTCTCTTAAATTATCATCTTTATTCCAGTATGCCAACATTTAAAAACATTTTAAGTAACTTTGGAAGGGCTCAGAGCTCATGTTTAACCTTTATTTGTTACAGAAGCCAGCTCAATAACATACTAAGTAAAGGCAATGTTTATCCACACTACTACATTTTATACCCAAGTAGATTCCTCAAGCAACAGGCAAGCATGGCACAATGAATCCTATGCCATTTTACCTTTATGTAATGTTTTGTGTTTTCCAGTTTACGCCTGGAACCTGCTATGTAGGCCAGGATGTTCTCGAACTTGCAATGATCCTCCTGCCTCAGCATCAGCAACGCTGGGATTAGAGGCAGGCGTGAGCCAGCACACCGAGTTGCACACATTTCTCGATATCACTCAGTTTCAATAGTTTGTGAGATACAGCAAAGCTTGAAAGTATGGGTCTGAATACCAGCCTCATTACTTATTATCTATTCACCCTTGAGTAGGATTTGCTAACTTTGCTGTGATGCATTTTCTTCACCTCTTCTTGATACGTAAAAATAAGGAGGTGCGAGATAATAATGTCATGAAGGTTGTGAGTCACTACATATAAACTCCTTAAAACAATGGCTAGCAATATTACCTACCATTTAGTTCAGAACCACTTATGACAAAGACTCCTTGTATGATTTACACATCAATGAAAATGAACAATGTACACTGACACTAATAACTTTTAGAAGGGTGCAATGCAAATTTTATCACACAGAAGACACAATATTCAATAATAAATTCTTTTTCAAATGCTGGCTTTTACTGCCACATCATAAGCCCATTATCCCAAATAGATTTCTTTAGAACAAGACTCCTTACTGGATTTTTGTCCTAGTACTTATTTCAAACTTAATGATTTTATTTTTTACATTTAACTGTGAGGGAAAAATTTTTTCACACATCTGGCACAATAGGCATTCAAATATATCCTTAATGAACAATGCAGGCATTTCAAAGTCTATTTAACCTATACCAGATAAAAATGAAAACAATAATAGTTACAGGTTTCTATTTTAAACAACCCAACTAGGGATTTAGTCACATTTAAAAATATATGTGATTTATTAAAAATATAATCTGGTGATGTGTTGTATAAATAGTCCCACTCAAACACATTAAAGTGTGATAATAGATATAATTTATAAAGCATTTAGAATGACCCCCCTTTCAATTACAAGAGATAAAGCATACAACATACTGTAGGTTTATTTTTATTCAAAAAGTTACTGTCTCAAGACATAAATACAAATCAGAAAACAGTACAATTAGGACAATAGAATGTGGAGGACAACAGGTTAGAGTAATATATAAAACATTTTTAGCTGGTTGAAAACAAAGCTGTAAGAACTGCTTTCACAAAGAAGTACTCTTTTCGAGAGTGAGAAAAAAAAATCAACTTAGGTTTAAAATCATATATACAGTCCTCTCAGCAGTTCTAGGAAATGCAGTGGTGTGTAAAAGAACATATGCAATACGTTTGCACATAACAATGTTTGTTGATGGAAAGTATGTTAGACATGTCTGGTTTTATTCATTAACCATGAATTAATAAAATAAGTGTATTTTGTGTTCTTTCAGCTAACCTATGGTTTTTTGGCTACCACAGCCCAATGCTTGTTGATTTCCTGACTCAAAAAACCAGAAGCCTTTTGGTATTCACACATCTGAAGATATTCTTGTATTGCAAGCATATTAAGGCATGGAATGATTAAAATAATATACCTCAAGAACTGAGAGACGACTGACAAAAGATAGATATACATGTAATATAAGTTAATATTTTGTTTTAAACGATGTCTAGCTGCCTAAGCCTCGCAAAATGAGTTGATGTCAAAATGGCAAGTGGCCACTTTCTGTTTTAAACTAATTCATTTGTGAAAGGACATAAAATGAAGTTTAAAGCTTAGCTTTCAAAGAATATTATGGGTTATGAATTCTATTATCCCATCTAATTTACATACAGAGGAAATGTACTGTAACCTGTTAGAAGTATCTTTAACCTGAAGACTGCTTGCAAAGACAGATAGATAAAACAATATAAAATACAAATTTAAAAATCATTTTAAAGCATGAACAGTCATGCTTTTCTATTTTTAAACATTGTTAAACTTTCAATATATTTCTGAAACCTCATAATTTTAAGTTGGAATTTAAAAGTAAGAAAAAACTAAACAAAATTTGCAATTATAAAATCAGCACCAATTTATATATATATATAATTTTATTTAAAATTTAGATCCCTATTCCCACACTCTAATAAGCTGTATAATTTTTGTTTAGAATTTTTCTGCAAACATACTACAATAAGCTTCTTTTATTTGGAGACAAAATACAGTGGCACTACTGGAAGGAATATGACAACATTACATTTTTATCTTAAAGGACAAGCAAACTTTCAGGGCTCATATGGGAGAAGCATGTTTGAGACTGGTTACCTTCTGGCAGTTCACTGCATCTGGATATTTCTGAAAAGTATACAGAAGCTCTTGAATTTTAAAAATATCTTAAAATACATTTTAGATGAAAAAATTGTAAAAGTTCTGCTTATAAGTTTAACTTTTTTCCACAATTACAACATTTAAAACAAAGTTTTGTTGACTGATGTTTTAAGCATTTAAATTTTGAATGCTAAAAACAATTCTATCCTACAATTTCAGGGTTAGGGAATAAATTCATCCTTAACTTTTGTTTCTCGGATGTAAAC